TAAGAGAAACTCTCCTGAACATTAAACCACCCAAACACAGCTGGAGAGGGAGGCATGTTCCTGGTTCTCCAGGGGTTCCAGAGCCCATCTCTGGGTATCTGTGAGCTTGTGAGCAGGTCTGGGTGTCTGGGGGGAGTTCCTTTGCTGTGCCCCTGTGGGGAATGTCCCTTTCCCTGAGCTCCCTGGATGGATGGGATGCAGCTCCCTGGCAGTGCTGGAACTGCAGCAGCTCCTCCAGCCCCAGCAAAGCATCCTGTGCTGGATAAATCCCCCTCTCCACATTTCCAAGGTGACATTCCTGTGCAAGCTCAGCTGTTTGGCAAAATCCCTGGCAGAGAAGCCCGAATGGTGTGTCTGGGACAGGGATCTGCCAAGGTCAGCATGGAGGCATCCCTGTGGAGCCCATGGCTTTTCCTTTGGGCCATCCCTGTGGAGCCCATGGCTTTTCCTTTGGGCCAGCTGTGCCCTCCCCTGCCTGCTGCTCCCCAGCACGCTGGGCTGGCTCCCACCTGCAGGGATGTTTTGCTTTCACAGCATGCTCAGCAAGCAGGGCCAGGTGCAGGGCAGAGGTTTTCAGAGGTTTTCCCAAGCTGTGTTTGCTCAGGAAAGCTCTGCTGGAAGTGGCTGCAGGCTTGGCCAGGGCAGGGAGGGCTCTGGCTGCCCTGGGAGCAGAGGGTGACCGCGGGGACCTGGGGTCCCTCTGCTTGTCCTGGTCCTTGTGCCAAATTCCCCCCTCAGCTGTCAGCAGCCTTGTTCTTTGGGGGTGAACTAAGGGCTGAGCATAGTGAGGATGCTCCTCTGCCCATGGGACCCTCTTGAAAACCTCATGGATGCCAGGAAGCAGCTGACATGGTCACCCCATGGCACTTCAGCAAACCTGCCCATGTCTGTCCCCAGTACAAGTGCTCATCGTGCTCAGGGATGCTCCAGACAATGGGGTTGATGGATGTTGGGGTGCTCCAGTTAATGGGGCATTGGGATGCTCCAGTTGGATGCTGGGATGTTCGGATGTTCCAGAGGTGCTGGGATGTTCCAGGTGGGTGCTGGGATGCTCCAGGGGTGCTGGGATGTTGATGGCGTGCATCCACCTGGGATGTTGATGGCGTGCACTGCTGAGTTTCCCTCTCTCCCCTGGCAGCTCCTGGGACTCCAGCGCCATCCCCACCTATGAAGAAGCCCTGACCTGCAGACCAGCCCAGGCTGCCCCGGCCTTTGTGCAGCCGCCGGGGCGGAAGGANCGCACCAGTGGTGTAGTGGTATCATGCAAGATTCCCATTCTTGCGACCCGGGTTCGATTCCCGGCTGGTGCAAGTCAGGCGGTGTCCTACCAACGAATCTGAGTTTGATGTTATTGCGATGTTGGGATGGTGCGAGTGCCAAGGTACTCCAGAAGCTGTGGAGAGCCTTGCTTTTAACGACGGGATGCTCCATCTCTCCCCGCGAAGGGACGGCAGCAGGGATTTTGGAGCCCTTCAGCTCGTGGAGGTCTTCCCTGATGCCCCCTCTGCTCTCACCTTCCTCCTCGTCTTTACACAGACACACTAGCTGAAAGCTTCACAGGGAGCTGGGAGTGAAACAGTGCTCTTCTGCACAATGTGCAAATTTTGGGCTATTTCTCAATAAGTCTCAAATTTTTAAAAATTAACTGTGCTGCAGATACCCCTTCCTGGAGTGTGAGAGCTGGGCCGGATCCCTTCCCAGGGTTCCAAGATCTCCATGGGTTTTTCAGCACGTAGGGATGCACGTGGAACTGGGGGATTTCTGCCACCCCCTCCCTACTCTTCGGGCTCCTTCCATCCTTCCCTGGGACACAGATTGTCCCCTGAGTCACAGACTGCCCCCTGTGCAAAAGGGAAAGGCTGAGGGAGAGGGGGACTGTCCTCCTTGAGACAGGGTCCCCCCGTGCTCAGCTGTCTCAGAAGCCTCCTGAGGCCCCTGTGGTGCGTTTTGGGACTTTGCAGCACCGAGGAAGCTGAGCCAAAAATCCGGAGTGAGGCCTGACCCCATGATCAGTGTCCTGAACTCTGACCCCTTCCAGTGTCAGCTCTGTGCAGCACGGGGGTGACAAGCTGGGTCTGGTGTCCCTACAGTCACCCAAACCAGAGTTCAGGCTCCCACTTGAGGTCTCATTTAAAAAAATCAACATTTCCCCTGCAAATTGTTCACATCCATATTAAACACACCCATCCATATAAACCGTGCACATCCTTGTAAAACATGCACTCCTCTATAAAGCATTAATGTCCATGCAAGCCATTAATTATAAAATTAATTTAAATTAATTATAATTATAAGTAACACATGTATAATTATAAACAACCCATAATTATAAAAGAGGCTCATCTATTTAAAACATTGTTGCGTGCAAACCACACACATCCATATAAAACATATATGTGCATACAAACCATACACATAATTATAACATGTACATCGTGTAAAACATATATTCATACAAACCATTCACATCCACATGAAACACACACATCTGTATAAAATGTGTGCATCCGTATAAACATTTAACCTCTAGCTTATAAATAACCAGCCAAAACCACAAATTCCTATTTCCCTGAAAAGCCGGGAGCAGGGATGGGGTTTGCCGGAGGTCGCTGGGGATGTGGGGCAGTGTGGGATGCCGATGCTGCGGGAGGGCAGAGGTGGGAAGCGGCGTGGGGACCCACGGAAATCACCGAAATCATCCCGCAAAAAGGGCATCTGTCATGTGTGACGACTCTGCAAAAAATGCCCAAACAGGATTAGCGGATTTCACGGGAAATTATTCGTGGAGTGAGGCAGTAGGAGGCACATTAAAGCTTTCAGCCCTTTCTCCAAGCAGTCCTTGAGCGGCTGCGCTTTGCTCGCCAGAGCCCCCAGCGATCCGCCGGGACTCGGGGTGAGCAGCNCCGGGATGGGGCACGGGAGGGTGGGCGAGCACTGGGGAGGCTCAGCCCGGCTCTCCCGGCTCTCCCGCCTCTCTGGTGCTGGGAGATGTGTTCAGAGCATCGGGGGTAGCTGGCACGTTTGAAAGCTTTAGTATTTTTAATAAAAGCACTGCTGGTTTCAGAGGCTTTGCATTCCCTGCTCACCCTGGGGAGCTCCTGTCAGGCCTGCCCACTCAATAGTAATAAATGTGCAGCACACTGAGTAATCTGGGCAGAGAAAGCCCAGCTCTGTCTGCACCACTCACGTCCCTGTGAGTGCCCCTTCCAGCCCTGTCTCCATCCCTTCCACCTTGTTTCCCTGAATGCTGACTGCCCACGCCTCACTTGGTGCTGGCCATGCTCAGTGGGTCGTGCTGTGCTCAGAGCATCCCAGTGCACTTGGCATGTCAGCAGCCTCCTGGAGAAGCCATCCTGAGTGGCACAGCCCCCCTGCCCTGCTGTGCAGCCTTGCCCAGAGGAGAGCCCAGCTGTGGCAGGGCTGCTGCCAGCTCCTGCATCCCACCACAATTCAGCGCTGCCCTGGGCTCCCCGTGGCCCTGCAGAGTGGCTGAGGAGCCACAGCCACGTCTAACACGCTGTTTGTAATAGAATTATTTGTCATAAACCAGTTGTATCAAGGGAATAAATCAAGGGAATAAAACATTGTCTGGCTGTGGATGTGTGGTGGGAAGGAGACACCTTTTAACCCCCAGCTCCAACCTAAGTGTACACAGGGCACAGGGACACCCTGTCTTTACTCTCCCTGGGTGGATCAACCTCACTGCATCCTTTTCTGGCTTTAGTTCCTCCTTCACAGCCCGGTGAGGCAGCCTTAGGACTCATCCAGAACAAGGCAGGGTCTGCCCCAAACCCCCCAGCCTCCAAAAAATCCCAGAGCTCTCCCTCTTTTCCTGTTTCAGCCCTTGAGAACACACTGGGCCCTGGCATCCCCCTCATCTGGGGCTGTGCCAGCTCTGATTTATGGCTGAGCCCAGCTCCAGTGCCCAGGGCTGGGAAAATCCCAGCAGCACCAGCTGATCTCCGGGTTCCCATCCCTGCTGCTGTGCTCCCCTGTGCCTTCCCAAGCTCTGGGGCTGGCAGGGAAGGTTATCCCTGTCCCCTCCCAAGTGTTGGGGCTGCAGAGGTTATCCCTGTCCCTTCCCAATGTGTGGGGCTGCAGGGAAGGTTATCCCTGTCCCTTCCCAAGGTGTTGGGGCTACAGAGGTTTTCCCTGTCCTTTCTCCAGGTGTGGGACTGACAGGGAAGGTTATCCCTGTCCCTTCCCACGGTGTGGGGCTGCAGGGAAGGTTATCCCTGTCCCTTCCCAAGGTGTGGGACTGCAGGGAAGGTTATCCCTGTCCCTTCCCAAGGTGTTGGGGCTGCAGAGGTTATCCCTGTCCCTTCCCAAGGTGTGGGGCTGGCTGAGGGTGCCTGCAGGGAAGGTTACCCAGCCACGTGCCGGGTGGCTCCACTGGAGTGTGAACGGCGGGGCAGTGTTTGCATTCATTACAAACCCATTAAAAACTGGCTGGCTCAGCCCTGGGCAGGACCAGCTCAACGTGCAGCTCCTGGCAGCCTCTGGAGAGAGAAACCACTCCTTGCCTGGTGCTGCAGGTGTGCTCAGCAGCCTCAGGTGGACACAGGCTTCCCAAAATCTCTCCCATGGCAGAGGAGAAGACCTTCCGCTACGGCTTCATCATCCTGGGCTTCTTCCTGGTGATGGTGGGCATGTTCATCATGAGCATGGAAAAGCCCCAGTACTACATCACCTTCTGTGTCCTGGGTGTGCTGCTGGTGGCCGTGGGCATCACATGGAGCATGTGCCAGTGCTACCCAAAGGTAGGATCCTTCCCAATGCTGCTGGGAACTTTGCGGGGCTCAAGGACTGGGTTTGGGGGGCTTTGGCTGCTGTGGATGTGCAGCCTCAGTTTCCCCAGGGGAAGCCGGCTGCAGCAAGCTGGAAGGGGAATTATTTTGGGAGGTTTGTGCCCTGCTGATGCCTGCAGGATGTGCCTCATCTCCTTCACCCCTGAGCCTGGGGCTTTGCTCTCAAACAGGCAGCAGGGAATAATCCCAAGGAAATAAACTTGTGCTCATCTCTCCCACACAGCCCTTCCCTGGGCTCTGGGGCTTGGCAGGCTCCCAGGGCTGCCAGGAAGGGGCTGTGGTGGCCGTGGAGGTCGGGGGGTCCCTCGGCTGGCATTCTCCTT